CTTTCACTTGGTGGCTTCCGGCTGAATTTGGTCTGGATCCAGCACGAGCATTCCTTGACGGGCTCTGCACGTGGGCACGGCGTGGGCTCCGGCGACCCTACTTCCACCGGCATGTTCGAGGAGCCCGAATGGGTCGAGGCGGCCCCAGCAGCCCTGGGCCTCCGTCCCGCGACAACACAGACTCGGCCCGTGACTGCCCCACCAGTCAAGGTGAGCGGCCCGGGACTGGGCTGTTTGAGGCAGCGAAGCCGACTCTCCTGAGCGGCCCCTGTGGTGCTGGGGAGGGGGAGAACCTGCAGTGCCGTCGTGGATCGGGATGGAGGGAGTTAGTCCTTATTTGAAGATCTGGAAACTCTCCCCAAAAAACTGATCTTAAAATACAGTTGGTGAGAAGTTGGTGTGGAGAAGAGAGTACCTGAGACGTAGAAAAACGTGCAGAAGCCCGGGGGCAATAACACACCGGGTTAGAGTGTATACAGATAGAAATAGGGGTTCGGAGGGTCGAGCACAGAGTAAATGAAAGGTTTGAAACGTGAAGTTTTCGTACCCTAAGGGGGTCAGTGGAGTTGTTTTAGCAGCGGAGTGGTTTCTCCACATTTTCTCTCACCCGGCATCACTTTATACTGGAGATCAGTTCCTGGGCTTCAGCTTGGTAAACAAGCATTCACTACTAAGCTGTACCCCCAGCCTTGAAAAGGTTTTTAGTTGCTCTTTAGAGAGTATATTGGACACAGTCAAAGTAGGTGACAGGCAGGGTTATCAGAATCACTATTCAAAGGAGGTTCAGGGAACTCAATTTCCAAGGTAAGTGTCTGGCAGAGGACCAGCAACAAGACTTGAACCACAAATCAGCTTCCCAGAAAACAGGTCTTTTCCCTTGAGCCTCATCAGATGTGAGAATTACTGTACCTCCTTAGGGTGTTCCTTTCAGCTCTGTAGCCCATCCTCCTAATGCAGGCCACTGTTTGCCTGTGTGCAGCTTCATCTTATCAGGCTATTCTCTGTACTGCAGTTAGGAACATCTTTAACAGACCTGTATGACACTGTCCTTCCTGTTTCAAGAAACCTCTCTGGTGCTCCTAGAATGCTATCAACTGCAGTCTTGTCTTGGTCCTGTTGTTTGTGACCTTAGCACATTCCTCTAAGGAACAGCACCTGGCCATCCTCTACACATTTAAAAAAGTAGAGTAGAAGCATGTTCCCACTCTCCAGCTTCCAAGAGGTTGGGATTGCAGCCTGAAAGTTCTGGGGTTGGCCGACTTCACAACAAACTCATTCAATTGGCTGGGGAGAATGACCAACATCTGAACCAGGTCCTCATCTCTCCTTTCTTATTCTCCAGGCCTCATCCATTCTCATACCTACTCTCATTCCTTGTTTGCCTCCAGGGCCGCAAGCGCCGCCATCTCTTGGCCACATTACGGGCCCTGGAAGCAGCATCTCTTTCCCAGAAGTGCCCCAGTCCACCTGGCAGTGATTCTGAGGAGGAGGTAGGAAGGAAGAACAAATACCTCCAAAGGCCCTCACTTGCCAATGCCTCGAAGGAAGTAGGGGAGAAAAGAAAAAGGAAATGTCAAAAACAGTCCCCATCTATCAGTGACTCTGAGAGCAAGGAAGTAGAAAGGAAATGCTGCAGACAAACTCTTGGTGGGATCTCTGCTGAAGAAGAAAAAGGAAAGAGGAAATGCCAGAAATATTCTCATTCACACTCATCCCAGCACCTGGACAGTGTTGATCAAACAGGTACCAGTGTATATGTATTGGGGTGGGGGTGTGAGCTGACTGCATAGATGACAAAGGTCTCTCTATCACACACACATACTCACACTCACACGCATGCATACACACCCCCCCAATAGGCTGGCTGGTAAAAGGCACTTTTATTCAGGCCACAGACTCTATCTAAAGGAAAAGGGAATAGCCAGGATGACTTGCCATGCCTCTGAATTTAGGGGATCAAGCCTCAGATGCCTTCTTATCTCCCTCTTTGCAGTTCACAGTTCAAGGACAAGTACTGCTACAATTGACCCACCCAAGCCAAGCCCTGAGTCCACATCCTGTAACTCCTCCCATACCCTGAGCCGCAAACAGTGGCGGAACCGGCAGAAGAATAAGCGGAGACACAAAAACAAATTTCGGCCACTTCAGACACCAGACCAGGTTCCTCCCGAGGCCTCCACAGAGGAGACTGAGGTGCCTCCTGCCCCAAAGTCAGACAGTCAACAGACTAGAGCTGGAGCCCTACGAGCACGCATGACACAACGGCTAGACGGGGCCCGATTTCGATACCTTAATGAACAGTTGTACTCAGGGCCCAGCAGTGCTGCCCAACGCCTCTTCCAGGAAGACCCCGAGGCTTTTCTCCTCTATCACCGTGGCTTTCAGAAACAAGTGAAGAAATGGCCACTGCACCCAGTGGACCGTATTGCCAAAGATCTCCGCCAGAAGTAATAGGAGGAGGGGAGGGGCTGTGGACCATGTGAGGGGTGAAGTGGGTGATTAAGGACTTAGACCAGACCAGCATGTGACCCTCCCTTCCACTCCCAGGCCTGCATCCTTGGTGGTAGCTGACTTTGGCTGCGGAGATTGCCGCCTAGCTTCAAGTGTTCGGAACCCTGTGCACTGTTTTGACTTGGCCTCTCTGGACCCCAGGGTCACTGTATGTGACATGGCCCAAGTAAGCACCTCTGTGTGTCTGGCCTTTGCTTTCTCTAACCCTTCCTCCTGGCCTTCCCATCCTATTATCCAACTCAAGCACTTGGTGCTGAATTTCCCCTACAACACTGTGCGTTCCATCTAACATTCTTCATCATCAGGTGCCTCTGGACAATGAATCTGTGGATGTGGCTGTGTTTTGCCTTTCACTAATGGGGACTAACATCAGGGACTTCCTTGAGGAGGCAAATCGAGTGCTGAAGCCAGGGTGAGTCCCTAGGACACAGATGAATTTTTGTGTGCATACATGTGTCTACATATTTACTTATGACTTCCTCCTTTTCCCAGGGGTCTGCTCAAAGTAGCTGAAGTCAGCAGCCGCTTTGAGGATATTCGGATGTTTTTGGGGGCTGTGACCAAACTTGGCTTTAAGGTCATCTACAAGGTAAGGGTCCCCAAGAAGTCTGCCCTTGCTTTTGTCCTTTTCTGGGTAATGGTGTGCAGGAACGAGGCTGTAACCACAGAGATAGACCTTTTGCTTTTCAAGGCAAAACTCTGGGAGGAGCTGTGGGAAGCTCCCTGAGCTGGGGAAACACAGAGAGGTGAAGTTGAGGTGAGGATTTGTAGCTCATTGATGTTTTCTTTTCCTAGGACCTGACCAACAGCCATTTCTTCTTGTTTGACTTTGAAAAGACTGGGCCTCCTAGAGTAGGACCCAAAGCCCAACTTTCAGGCCTGAAACTTCAGCCCTGTCTCTACAAGCGCAGGTAACCAATGGACACCTGTCAAAAGGGGAAGGCTCAGACTCCAAACTCAGAACTCTGAAGACTGTACCTACCCAAGCTTTGAGCCAGGACCTGGTGCCACACTCCTTCTGTACCAAGAACACTGGTAAAGCCTTCAGCTCTGCTCCAATGGAGCCTTCTCAGCTACTAAAAGCATGAAGTAACTTGGGCAGGCTCAAGAATGAGGAGTTTATTGTGAGGGCATTGGTATATTCTGGGAATTGTGGGTCACTTCCAGTATCATGTAAACTAGTTGGCTTGGAAGTGATAGATCTCTGGGTTTGGTTTCTCTTCATCTTTCAGAAGGTGCCTGGGCACTTCACTGTGCCGTCTTCTGACTGTATTGTGTAGCCTCTGCTCATCCATAATTTCTGCTCTTTCAACTTCAAGACTACAGATAGCTTTTGCCTCATGGCAAGCCCTAATGCTAGTACCTACTGGGGCTGGGAGTTATTTCTTTCTCTTTTGGAGCTGAGAATCATTTCATTTCTTTCTTTCTGTTGTTTTGAGACAGCATCTCACACTAGTCCAGGCTGACCTCAAATGGTAATTCTCCTGCCTTAGCCTCCTGATTATTGAGATTACAGGTATGAGCCACTATACCCAGCTTAATTAATTAATTTCTGAATATTCCATTTCTCATTTGAAAAATGTAAAATTCTTGTGTTCCAGCATGTTGTATGGGTTAACTGAGGAAAGCTGCTGCAAGAGCTGGGAACATAAAGAGCTGGCACTGAATAAATCAGCTTTGGCTGTTATGTGTCAATCTTACTGTTCTTTAACGATCACCCCTAAGATGGCTTGGAGGTTGAAGCGTAAATAATTTAGTTGTGACTGAGAAAGATTAGGAGAGTTTGGTATAGGCACATAAACAGGCTTATTTGATATTTAGAGGATTAATGCATTTCAAGCTTTCATCTGTTCATAAGCAACAACTGATTGGGCTGCTCATTGGCAGGATCTGGCCATGGTACCTACCTTGTATGTCAGAGGAAAGCTACAGGCAGGAACTAAAGTACTCAAGTTCCTGAACTAGGGCTGGGAAGATGAGCTGGGATGGCATGCTGTATAAAGATACAGCCTCTTCTACCCATTCACAAAAATAAGACCTCATGGTTCCCTCTAGGAGCAAATAGGTCTCAGGATTCTGATTTGATTAACTGCTCCCAGGCCTAAAGAAAGAAGACACAGGCCAAAAGGCATGTTTGGAGGTTGGACTGTGAGGCCAACCTTAGCAGACACTATACAATATCTTTGTGTGCAATGTTGCTGCTGATCACGCATCTCACGAGCAAAGTTTACTCGTCTTCCCAATAGCTTAGCTGCTTAAGCCTCTTCCCCAGAAGCATGTATATTCTCAACATACTGTATGCAAAATGTTTCTTTAGTATACAAGTACTGTGTTGTGGATGGTTTATACATTTCACTGCAGCCTTCTCAAGCCATATTTGTCTTTCTGTTTCCAGAGTCTGTTTACTTGTGTGTGTGGGGGGGGCAGTGTTTAAGGAATAACAGTCTGCTTAACTGAACTTGATGACAACAGGAGTGTTGCCGAAGCCAAGTCTGGGTTACATAAGGGTGCTGTAATGGGAAAGGGAACTAGTGATGGGAAAGGTATGCCAGCAGGAGAACCTCAAGATGGAGTTGGTATAATGTTGAGGTTTTTTGAAAGAAAAAAAAATCTGTAATAAAATGGACAGGCTGGTGTGGTCAATTCAAAAGTTGAATTTGGGGTCCAGGGAGATGACTCAGTGGCTAACAGCACTGCTGTGCAAGCATGGAGACCTGAGTTCAGACCCACACATAGAAATGCATGCCTATAGCTCCAAAGCTGAGGAGGGATGGGCTAGTGGAGACAGGCTGTTGGGGTTTGTAGGCCAGCCAACTTACCTCTGCAGTGGTCAGCACCAGACCCAGTAAGAAGTTGTCTTAAAGGAATAAGGTAGAGAATGATAAAAGCAGGAAACCTGATGTCGTCCTTTGGCTCCTACCCCTGCCCACACGCACACGCACACACACACACACACACACACACACACACACACATACACACACACTATCCACTCTCACATGCAGCATACCCAGCTTAAAGAACAAGAGGCTTGTATGGCCGGAACAGATTGAAGGAAGAAGAAGAGTATTAGGAGGTAAGTGGTAATAGGAGGGGTTAACTGTGAAAGACAGTGGCTTTCAAACTTTAGAGTGACTGGAGTCATCTGCAAGGTTCATTATAATGCTGTGTCCCGAGCCCTCTCCTGTAGTTTCTGGTTCTATAGATCTGAGTAGGGCCCTAGAAATTCTTTTCTGGTGGCTTTGGGTTTTCTCCTTGAAGGAGGAAGCAAAATATATTCATTGAAAGTGAAAGTGGAGAGAGGATTGGGATTTTGAGGAAAGGAAAATGAAGATCATTTCAAGGAGAATAGAAGAGAATGAATAATGGTTGTTGGTGGTGGCACATGCCTTTAATCCCAGCACTTGGGAGGCAGAAGCAGGAGGATCTCTTGAGTTTGAGGCCAGCCTAGTCTACGTAGTTCCAGGCCACCCAGGGGATACATAGTGAGACGCTTAACTAAGGAAATAGAGTAGAAGTATTGGCAGTGTTAATAACACATGAAGTTCGAGTCATAAGAAGATGGGAGCATGGTACAGTGTTGTGTCAGGAACTTGTTACTTTCCTGTACTACAGGTCTATCAGAATCCAGCCCCATTTGTAAGAAACGGGAGAGGGTCAGGTTTCTGCTACTGACCACAAGTCTAGCTAGGGTCTACTGAGAACATTAGGGAAGCATGAGATATTTATTTCTACTGCTGAGGAATGATGAGCCTAGGGTCTTACTCCTGCCATGAAAAAAGCTCAGAGGCTGTGTAGATGGTGTGGTAGTGGGGTGCCGCTGCTTTGGCACTAGCTTGCATTCCCAGAATGTGCCCTGGCAATAGAACATGAGTATCTTCTATGCATCTTGTGTTAGTGTAAGATGGGCTTGAGTCCTGTCCTGTGGGACCATTTTGAAGAGATAAAGAGACTTCATAACAAGCAGCAAGGAGTCAGCCATTTGGGCTTATGGAACAGTTTCAGAAGGCCACCCAGAATAGTGCAGTATCCATCAGAGACTAACAAAAATTTCACCTTTGAATTTCCACCAGGGACCTGCCAGGTCAAAGAACCACCAAGTCAAACCAGACTTGCAGACTTTCCTTGTCCCTCCTCCTCAGTACCTATGCCTGGAATAATCAGCACGGAGGTGAGAAAGAATTGTGGAGAGCAGGGAGCTCTCCTCCATTCCCTAAAGCAGCCTCCTTGACTTAGGTGAGGCAGAGCTGGAAGGAGGAAAGATTTAAAGCCACCACAGGGGCCCGTTATTTATTACACAGAATTATGCATGCTAATTTAGATTGTTTACTTCTTGAGCTGATCACGGGACTGTCAGTTAACTGAGAATATCACAGTGGGGCTAGACAGATGTTTCTGTGGTTGAGAGCTCTGGCTGCTCTTGGAAAGAACACAGGTTCGATTCCCAGCACCCATAAGATGGCTCATAACCATCTGACTCCAGCCCTAAGGGATCCAGTGCCCACTTTGGTGTCTGGGCACACCAGGCTCCCACATGGTCCACAGACATACATGCAGGCAAAACACTCATAAAACAAAGTAAACAAATTAATAAATAAATAGAAGACAATTCCAGGCTTGCTGCAGCCTTTCTCAGCAGAGAGAGAGTTTACTCTTTCAGGGCTGTGGGAGACAAGAATGAAGTTGGATATGGATATCAGTCTAGACCTGGGTCATGTTCAATATCCCTTTCAGAGCTCTCCAAGCAGTGTTCTGCAATTATTCCTGTGCTCCTGATTTTGTTCCCGTAAAACAGTCCTAAGAGAGAACACAGTTCCAAAAGAAACAGTGTGATCTTGGCAGAGACAGCTCAGCTCCAAGCACTTACCAGTTACGTAATCACACAAAGCTCTCTGGCTTTTCACAGAAACTAGTAATTAGAACCTTTCATTTCCAGGTCATCATCTTTCCCAGGTGAGTTCTCTAACTAGCCACCTGGTTGTAGGACTTTTGGCTACTGCAGTGATTGCTTTAGGGATCTAATTGCCTTTGCTTCCCAAAGCAATTCATTTTCCATACTGCAAAGTGATCTTTATGAAAATGTAAATCAGATTATGTCACCTTTCTGCATAAAATCCTTCAATGAATTCTCATTGCTTGAGAACAAAAGACAGACTCCTTCCCAGGTCCTGTGTGATCTTACCCAGGCATTGTTCTGCAGTCCAACTGCTTAACTCACTCTTCCCCTCCTCAGTACTCCAGCAGGAGCTTGCTGTTCATTCCTTATGCACTCCACGCCCTCTCTACATCTATACATGCCCCCTCCATCTTCCTAAAATATTCTTTCCCTCAATTCATTTTCATCTTCTGGATCATCTTACCAGTGACATGTTTTTCTTTCCTGTGGAAGAAATTCCCCAGGTGCCCTCTTTCTGGACATAGAATTAAACTCTTATTTTCCAGCAATGTACACTAGGCAGGTCATGGATAGTCAGAGGGATGTTTTCATACAAAGAAAGTGAAAGGCAGATGAGCTGTGTCCATTTTCTCCCACTTCTTTCCCTACCTAGAAAGGTCTGGTTTTAAAGGTGATGGAGTCATAGTATACAAGAAGTTTGGCCATTTAGGAGAAAATTGAACTCTGAAACAGAACTAAACCCCTAAAGCTAATGAATGCGAGCATGTTACGGCAATTGTCATTATGCATCTGGGTATGTCTTCCTGTTCACCTTACCACAAAACCCTCTGTTTCCTGTAGCATGCGTCAACATTTATCTTACCACGTGCCAGTATATGCTTTCTAATTGTTCCACTTTAAATATTTGTTTTTATTTTTTGACTACATATATGGGGGTTATGCATGTGTGAGTACAGTGGCTGAGACCAAAGACATGGAATTTCTTGGAGGTGGAGTTATAGGCAGTTGTGAGCTGCCTGATGAGGGTTTGGAAAATTGAACTTGAGTCCTCTGCAAGAGAAGTACTCACTCTTACTATCTTTCTAACCTCTTATCCTACTTTTAAATGAAGAAAAATAATGTTCACATCAGGAAACAAATATTTTATCAATTATTTATGACTAAAAAATTCCCAGTAAATTTTTTAAATACTAAAAATTTTTTTCCTAATATAACAAGGAACCTGAAGGTTGATGACTTGGCTTTAGTTCAGGAGCACAGAAGTGTCAGGAGTAAGGGCTTTGTGCTTCTCTTGGTGTCCTGATTCTCATAGTCACAGATGCATTCTTTTTTTTTTTTTTTTTTTTTTGGTTTTTCGAGACAGGGTTTCTCTGTGTAGCTTTGCGCCTTTCCTGGAACTCGCTTTGGAGACCAGGCTGGCCTCGAACTCACAGAGATCCGCCTGGCTCTGCCTCCCGAGTGCTGGGATTAAAGGCGTGCGCCACCACCACCCGGCCACAGATGCATTCTTAATTAGGCAGAGACACCTTACTGACTAGACTTCTTGGAAGTCTCTCTGATTGCCACAGCACTCCCCACCCTCCCCGCTTTGGCTTCACTTCAAGGATCTGTTCACTTGTTAGTACTCTGGTATAAATATGTTATGTTCTCCATGATGACTGAATCCAATCTAAAAAAACAAAAACAAAAACCCTTTAAATGCATATTCCTTCTCTGCCACTTCCCACATTTCAGTATCAGTAGCTCCTAGGGCCTAAACTTCTCTTCAGTTCAGTGGATAAGGGGAATATGTTTTACTCATTTTTTATGTGCATTGGTGTTTTGCCATGGGTAGCAGGTCCTCTGGAACTGGAGTTACAGACAGCTGTGAGCTGCCATGTGGGTGCTGGGAATTGAACCCAGGTCCTCTGGAAGAGCAGTTAGTGCTCTTAAGCACTGAGCCATCTCTCCAGCCCTCCTTTTACTCATTCTTTACCTTTTCTGTTTGTTTGGGGATTGGAATGGAGGGAGGTATATCAGAGAAGATTAAACTTACTCAATTAATACATCATTGATATGTTTTTCAAGACAAATATATAAATGTTAACTTTTGTGTGTGATGCAGAGCTCCCCACAGGGACATGTGCAGGAACTGACTTTGGTTGATTCCTTATGATATATAACCCAACTGCCCCTTAAATCCATAGCTCCTAACCCTGACAGTGTATGTCGGTTAGTTTTTGTCAAATAGACACAAACTAGAGTCACTTGAGGAGAACATCTCAGCTGAGAAGATGCCTCCATCAGATTGGCCTGTAGGCATGTCTGTGGGGCGTTTTCTTGTTGATTGTGTGGAGGGCCCAGCCCAGTCTGGGCATTGCCACTCATAGGCAGGTGGGCCTGGGCTTTGTAAGAAAAGTCATTGAATAAACCAGGGGAAGCAAACTAGTTAAGCATCATTATGGCCTCTGCTTCAGTTCCTGCCTCCAGGTTCCTGCCTCCAGCTCCTGCCCAGGCTTCCCTCGATGATAGACTGTAACCTGTAGGATGTTATAAACCCTTTTCTTTCCAAGTTGGTTTTGTCAGTTTTACCACAGCAAACAGGCAGCAAACTAGGGCACAATGTATCCACTGCCACCTAGTGCTAATGAGCCTCACCTTCCCTGACAAGGTCCCAACATACCTCAAGACCGTTTACCTTTCACGGAGCACATGGGGAACCCATGCACATTTGTCTTGTCAAACAGTGGAATGTGAAGCAGGCAGCAGGTGACAGTTCTTTCCTTGTGCTGATGAGAAGTACCAGTCACTGTGCCCATATGGCTCTAAACAATTTCCTCCTGTTCCCCTCCTTCTATGACCCTGTACTCATAAATATCTTTGACACAATACATGGTGATTTAGGTATATGGGTGTTATAACGGAGAACTACCAGTGCTCTTCACACTCACTTTCCTCCTGGGAAGTCAACTATACTATATTCCCTATCTTCCCATGGAGTTGTATGTCAACAGCTAATGGAGGTGAGACGGTTGGTTAATAATGAAACTGCTGCTTCCAGACTTAATTTTTTTTTCCTCTTTTTACCCCTCTTTGGTTTTTTCAAGACAGGGTTTCTCTGTGTAGCTTTGGAGACTGTCTTGGAACTTGATCTATAGACCAGGCTGGCCTCAAACTCACAGAGACCTGCCTACCTCTGCCTCCCAAGTTTCCATGTTTTCCAACTTGATGCACTGGAGCAGAGGTGCCTAAATCCCTGAGCATCACCAAAACTGAAGTCATTCACCTGCTTTGGGTTTCATTTAAGTGAGAAATACATTGCTGTTTTCCTGAGGCACTAATAGTCTCTTAAAAGCCCTTTGAGTTGAAGGGGACAAAGCACCTATAAAGAAAAGTATACAAAACAATATTTAACTCTGATTTATCACAAAGCCACTGATAATCTCCCAGATTATGTAGCAGAAGGCTGTTATCACCTAAAGCCACTTCCCAAACACAAGCAGCTTTTGTGTGTGTGTGTGGTTAGAGTGTTAGAACTTTTTTTAAACCTTTATTCTTCTCTCATGCATTACATTCTGACCACAGTTTCCCCTCCAGATCAACTCCACCTATTTCCCCAAAAAAAGAAAAAAAAATGGGGGGAAAAAAAAAAGCAGGCTTCCCAGGGATCTACTGAGCATGGCCTAACAAAATACAATAAGACTAGGCGAGGCTGGAGAGATGGCTCAGAGATTAAGAGCACCGACTGCTCTTCAAGAGGTCCTGAGTTCAATTCCCAGCACCCACATGGTGGCTCACAACCATCTGTAATAAGATCTGGCAATCTCTTCTGTGTACATAATAAATAAATTAATCTTTTAAAAAAAAAAGACTAGGCACAAACCTTCATATCAAGGCTGGACAACCCAGTAGAAGGAAAAGGGTCCTAAATGCTGGCAAAGGAGTCAGAGACAGCCCCTGCCACCTCTACACACACACACACACACACACACACACACACACACACACACACACACACACACTCCTATTGTTGGAAGTCCCATAAGAACAAGCTACACAACTGTAACATATAGGCAGAGGACCTAGCTCAGACACATACAGGGTCTCTGCTTATTGTGTCAGACTCTTTGAGCTACTACTATGAGCCCTGCTTAGTTGTTTCTGTGGCCTATGTTCTCCTGGCGTCCTTGAACCCTCTGACTCCTACAATCCTTCCTCCCTCTTTTCTTCAGACTTCCCCTGGCTCTTCCTAGTGTTTAGCCAGTCTATGCCACCATTGCCTCAGCATGTCTTGCAGGAAGGACAGATTGTAGGTCGAAGGTTTTGTGGCTGGGTTGATATCCCTGGATTGATGCTATGAGCCTTGCTTTGTTATAAAAGATGGCTAGTTTGGGCTCCATATCCCCCATTACTAAGAGACTTCACTTGGATCCCTCTCATAAAGTCCAGGGAGTTTCCCCTGCACTAGGTTTCTATATCGCCCCCCAAAATCCCCCCAATTCTGTCATCTCTCCCAGTACTCTTTCCCTCCATCCCTCCCACCTACCCCCTCCTGATTCCCTCCTGTTCCCATCCCCACCCACTCCCAGTCCACTGGTAAAATCTGTTTTATTTCCCTTTCTCTGGGAGATCCATGCATCCTCCCAAGATTAACTAAAAAAAAAAAAAAAATCAGTAGCCCTCCTATACACAAATGACAAACAGATTAAGAAATCAGGGAAACAACACCCTTCACAATAGCGACAAATAATATAAACTATCTTGGGGTAACTCTGTTGTGTTTTAAAAATGGCGAGGAGTCATACCATACAACAGGGCTCACGTGGGAGGTTTATTGAGGGGAGGGGAAAGAAGGGACAGAGAAGGGGGCAGAGACCAGTCCTTGGGGATGAGAGCAAAGGAAGAGAAAGAGAACGAGATGGGATGTGGGCCAGGCCCGCCTTTTATAAGGAAACGTAGTGAATGCACACAGAGAGTGCTCTTAGTGGCTGCAGCTGAGGATATATCCTGTCAGGACCCAAAGGGCAGGCCAGTACCCATGCCTAAATGAAATGCTAACAAACTCTAACCAAGCAAGTGAAAGACTTATATGACAAAAACTTCAAGTTTTTGAAGAAAGAGATTGAAGAAGATACCAGAAGATGGAAAGATCTCCCATGCTCATGGATTGGTAGGAAAATGTACCATAGTAAAAACGGCCATCTTACCAAAAGCAGTCTACAGATTCAGCACATTTCCCATCAAAATTCTAACACAAGTCTTTAGAGACCTTAAAAGGACAATACTCAACTTCATATGGAAAAACAAAAAACCCAGAATAGCTAAAACAAGCCTGTATAAGCCAGGCAGTTGTGGTGTATGCCTTTAATCCCAGGCAGAGGCAGGTGGATCTCTTTGAGTTCAAGGCCAGCCTGGTCTACAGAGTGAGTTCCAGGACAACCAAGACTGATTTACAGAGAAACCCTGTGTCTCGAAAAACAAAACAGTTCTGTATTATAAAAGAACTTTTGGAGGTATCACCATCCCTGATTTTAAGCTCTACAGTTATAGTAATAAAAAAAACCTCACGGTATTAGTATGAAGACAGGTTGATCAATGGAATCAAATAGAAGGCCCAGACATAAATCCACACATCCATGCACATCTGATTTTAATAAAGAAGCCAGAAATACACACTAGATAAAATACACTGTGGTGCTGGTCTAACTGGATGTTAGCATGTAGAAGAATGCAAATAGAACTATATCTATCACCCTGCACAAAACTCAAGTCCAAGTGGATCAAAGACCTCATAAAACCAGACACACTGAACCTGGTAAAAGAGAAAGTGGAGAATAGCCTTGGATGCATGGGCACAGGAGACAACTTCCTGAACAAAACACCAATCTAGCAGTCACTCAGATCAACAATAAATGGGACCTCATGAAACTGAAAAGCTTCTGTAAGGCAAAGGATGCTGTCAATAGGACAGAACAGCAGCCTACAGAAAAGATTTTCACCAACCCCACAACTGATAGAGGGCTAATATCCAAAATATATAAAGAACTTGAGAAATTAGATCAATAAACCAAATAATCCAATTAAAATGGGATGCAGATCTAAACAGAATTCTCAATAGAGGAATCTCAAATGGCTGAGAAACACATAAGGAAATGTTCAACATCTTTAGCCGTCAGGGGACTGCAAATCAAAACTACTTTGAGATTCCGTCTTACACCTTTCAGAAAGGCTAAAATCAAAAACACAAGTAACAGCTCATGCTGGTGAGGATGTGGAGCAAGCAGAATACTTCATTGCTGGTCTGAGTGTCAACTAGTAGAGCCATTATGGAAAACAATGTGGAGGTTCCTGAGAAAATTGAGAATGGATCTATCTCAAGACCCATCTATACCATTCTTGGGCATATACCTAAAGAATGCTCCATCCTACCACAACAACACTTGCTCAACCATGTTCATTGCCGCTTTATTCATAATAGCCAGGGACTGGAAACAACCTAGATGTCTCTCAACCAAAGAATGGATAAAGAAAATGTGACATATTTACACAAAGGCGTATTACTCAGCTGTTAAAAACAATAGCATCCTGAAATTTGCAGGCAAATGGATGGGGTTAGAAAATATTATCCTGAGTGAGATAACCCAGCCCCAGAAAGACAAAATGGTATGTGCTCACTTATAAGTGGACATTAGCTGTTAAACAAAGGACAATCATTCTGCAATCCACAGACCCAGAGAGGCTAAGTAGCAACTTTCTTTTCTTGCTCCCACAGAATTTCCATCCTTACTCAATGTTATTTCATTGGTCTTCTACATAGTCTTACCACTTAAACTTCCATATCTAAATAGCATTTCCATGTGTCTAGCTTTTTGTACTCACCCCTTAACATGCATCTGTATCGAGCTCAACTATATTAATTTTTATTAATGTGAATAAACCACAATTTAGTGATTGCTTAAACTGTTAGTGTACTTATGAGGAGTGGCTGGGCCATCTTTTCAAGAAATAAAAGCCCAAAATATTGATTTAAGCCAATGTGGTAATTTTAAGACTTCTTTTTTATTTTTTACATTTTTTTTCTTTCATTTGGAAGGAGCAGTATTACATGTGTGCCGTGGTGTGTGTGTGGAAATCAGAGACATTTGTTGAGAATCTTTTCTATCTTGTGGTTATCAGGGATTCAACCTGGGTTGTCAGTCTTAGAGTTAGGTGCCTTTAGCTACTAAGCATCTCACCTCCAGTGTTATTTTTTTCCCTGTCAATATAGTTTGAGAGGGACTCTGATCACACTCAGAGACCCAACTAATGGAGACAGTATCTCAACATAAGCTCTTGTAGTCACTGAGGCAAGAAAAGGGAGCAAAGCCAATCCTTTCTGCTCCTGTGTAACTGACCAAAACAATTACCAGTGTGAAATATAGCTTCATAGATGGTAAAAAGCAAACAACCCCCTCAAAACCTCTAACCATTCTCAAAGGGAAGAGAAATAATATTTGTGCACTGTCTAGTAACTGCTGTGGGATGTTCTGTATGTCAAATATGTTGCTCTGATTGGTTAGTAAATAAAACACTGATTGGCCAGTAGCCAGGCAGGAAGGATAGGCGGAACAAGCAGAGAAGAAAATTCTGGGAAGTGGAAGGCTGAGTCTGAGACACTGCCAGCTGCTGCGATGACAAGCAGCATGTGAAGATGCCACGAGCCACGAGGCAAGGTATAGATTTATAGAAATGGATTAGTTTAAGATGTAAGAACAGTTAGCAAGAAGCCTGGCACGGCCATACAGTTTGTAAACAATATAAGTCTCTGTGTTTACTTGGTTGGGTCTGAGCGGCTGCAGGACTGGTGGGTGATAGAGATTTGTCCTGACTGTGGGCCAGGCAGGGAAACTCTAGCTACAAGTAACTATTCCAAATTATTTTTGATTTGTCCTTCCTGCAAATAGTGACATTTGTGAAAAAAATGTTTTAATGTCTCTTCTTTGTATGTATGTATTCTTACCAGAAATAGAAATAACCAAGAATATAATTTGTTTATATACATAAAATGTAATCTCAGATTTGTAGATAATTCTATTTACAAATTTTATTTGGAAACATAGTCTCTTGTAGCCCATTCTGACCTTGAACGCACTATATAGCTGAGAATGACTTAGAATTTCTGATCTCTACCTCCCAAGTGCTGAGATTATAGGTGTGTACCACCATGCCCAGTTTTATGAGGTGCTTGAGATCAAACTCAGTGTTTTGTGCATGTAGGCAAAAACTACCAACTGAGTCACATTTTCAGCTCCAAAATTAAATTTTTAAAAATTCCTTTTACCAAGGATAGTTCATTTAGTCCATATATTATGGTTTGAATATGTTGAAGTCCTGATCCCAAATGGTGGTGTTATTTTGAGAAATGATAGGCACTTTAGATTTTAGGGCATAACTGAAGGAAGCAGGTCACTGGTAATATAACTTGAAAAACGTATCTTGTCTCCAGCTCTTTCCTCTGTCCTCCTCAGCTTCCTCTCATGAGGTGAGCAACTTTGCTTCAGTTCATGCTCACTGCCTCAGTCTCTTCACAGGTGCACAGCAATGAATCATCAACTATTGAGATTCTTGCAACAATGAGCTGATAACACCTTCTTTAAGTTGTTTCTTTAAGATATTTGTCATGTTGGTAGACATCTATCCTGGAGAAGTAAGGTTGTTATTGTGATTAAACCTGACTTTGTGGTTCTTTGGGATTGGTTTGGGAGAATTTGGAAAAGTGCAGAGTTACAAACTAGAGAAGTGCCAGAATGTTGTTAGAAATGTTTAATGGGCAATTCTGGTGAGAATGCAGAAGGCCAGAATGCTGATAGGAGACAATAAAGATGAGAAGAAGGTCTCTCTTGGGGAATTGGATTACAGACCATTCATTTTTAATCCCAGTAAAGAACTTGTTTAGATTTTAGTAGTATCCTGAGTCTTTGCATGAGGGTGAATTTAAAGGTTCAGACTAGTTAATACAGCAGAGGACATTTCAAGGCAGCCTGAATTAAAAGGGCATGGTTATTGCTAGCTGCTTTTAGTCAATTTTATAGCAAGAATGTTTTCCAAAAGCAAGGTGTTAAAATTTGAAAATCTTTCACTTAGAGCAGAAAAAAAAACAAAAAAACTTTAAAGTTGAAGCCAAGAGGAATGTGGTTGTTGAAGAGATTAGGGCCATTAAAAAGAAACTAAGTAAGCCACCAACTCATGCCTTTAATCCCAGCACTTGGGAGGCAGAGGCAGACAGATATCTGTGAGCTCCAGGCAATCCTGGTCTACAAAAGTGAGTTTCAGGACAGCCAGGTCTACATAGAGAAACCTGTCACAAAAAAAAAAAAAAAAAAAAAAAGAAAGAAAAAGAAAAAGGAAAAGAAACTAAGTAGACTATGTGTGATTGTGCATGTCTACCAATGCCAGCCAGCACTTGGTAGCTAGGCGGCAGGAGGATCAAGAATTCAAGGTCAACCTCAGCTATATAGCAAGTTGAAGTTCAGACTGACTATATGAAACCCTGTCTCAAAAGATAAGAGGTTAAAGCAGCAACTCAGTGGTTAAGAGCACTTGTTGCTATTGCAGATGACCTGGGTTTGATTCCTAGAATCCATATGGTAGCTCACAACTTTCCATAACACTAGTTTCAGAGAATCTAATACCTTCACAGGACTAGGCATGCATGTAGTGCATATATACATACATGCAGGCAAAACACTCATGCACATAAGATAACCCCCTAAACCAAACAGTCAAATATTTGGCATCAGAACACCAGAAAAGTACCTGAGGGTTTCTCAGGAATTGGCTAGCTGCCACCCTTGGTAGGCACATGGATATAAAGGTTTTAATTCATTCAAAAGACTTTGCTTTGAGAAGTGTTCACTTAGGAAAGTGCCCCCCTGTTTTCATCCATCCAGGTGTTCAGAGGCCATTGAAGAGTAGCTACTGCTTGAGCTAGCAGCAGACCTTGGCATTGCCCGCGTGATGCTGGAGTTTCAAGCATGTAGAATGTAAGAGTTGTAGAATTATAGGCTTTCCCTCTCTATTTCAGAGGAGAGTCTAAAAGGCCAATGTATGTATGGTAGGACCAGAATCCCCACAGGAAATCTCTGACAATGTGTAAAGTTGTAATAGTGAGTGGAGCTGCAGAGGACACTCCAGAAATTTAGAGAGGCCATGGACATACAGCATCTGCCATGGAAAGCCTCGGTGAGTGGAGCAAGGTCTAGAGAAGCCACGTGGGCTGCAAATGGTAAGGCTTTAGTGGTGGGGATGGATCCATGCACATTTGAGCTCATATCATTTCACCACATACCCGGGGTACTTTTGGGAATGGGCTGTAGGACTAAATGTTTGTCCCGCTAGGTTTCACTCTTACACTGGTCCAACCTTTCTTTGGTGTCTATTCCACCCTCTTAGAATGGAAATGTTTACTGTGTGTCATATTTTAGAATATTTCTTGAGTTTTATGGGGGGTTATAGTTAAGAGTTTAGGTCTGAGGAAATTGAACGTGGATTTTTGAGAAATGCATTTTAGCTGGATATTGTGGTTTGGGCCTCTAATTTCAGCATTTGGGGAGCTGAGTCAGGTGCATCACAAGTTTGAGACCAACCTGGAACACAGCAAGAACCTGTTTCAAAACAGAAAGGCGGGGAGGGGGGGCGGTAATATGCATTTGGCATTATAAGAATAATATGACCTTTTGAGATCCCGTTGTGGAGTAGTGAAGTTTAGATATGATGTATCCCCCAAACGGATGTATGCACAGAAGGCTTAGTCCAATCCTGGTGGCACTATGAGAAGCTGACTGGATAATGAAGGTGCTAATTTCAACAATGGATAAATGGACCATTAAAAGGAATGGCCTAGAAGGAGGTCCCTGGGGAGGGTGCTTTCAAAGGGCATAACATGTTCCTAGAACTTCCATGGGACAGGAAATAGATCCCAAGGAAAGCAGGAGTTTTACCCTGAATAGCCTCATCGGTGCCTGAAAAAACACTTCATATGGAGAAGTGCTTGCTCAGTTGGTTATTATTGAATGAGTGAGGGGTCGTACATTGGCCTTTGTTTTGGGTATATGATTCATTTGGAGAATGTGGTAAGGCAGAAGTGGGACATTCCAATAATGCTGCTAAATGCCTTAAGCAACTTTCAAATAATGTTCTCCATTTAAAACTACCCACTAGATATTTAATGCAAGTGCTGAGACCACAGTAGAAAGCTGAGCAAGGAATCAGAATTCTGTGTTAGCTATTGCTAGGTTTCCCTATCCCCTTGTAAACAGCACTAAAAGCAGGCCCCTGTGCCCAGAGAGTACCCACAGCCTTTGCCCCTCTTGTTTTGCACATGTCCCCCTTCTTCCTCTATCAGTAGCATCCTTTTCCCTCCATGTGCCACATTGTGTACTCTGTGCATACTGCAATCTTCTTCCAAATCCCAGAAGTCATTCCTGACACCACTACAGCTTTATTTTGGTGGGGGCTCAGGATAAGGTTGGGCTGCACACATGGACTCTCCGTTGGATACAGGTGTCAGGGCTGAGCTTCGTGGGTAGTGGCAGGTGCATCAGGATGTTCTTGCTGTGCAGCTTGGTAGTGCCAAGGGGTCCGGTCATGTATACAGGACAGGAGTACACACCCAGGCCAGCTGAGACTGGTGCAGCCTTGGTCCCAAGGGCTTGTGTGCTGACGCTGACAGGAGGCAGGGGGCTGGGTTGACTGGAAAAGCTGTCCTGCACGGCCCCATCCATTTGGTCCCACTCTGCATGTTGGAGCTGTAACCCGATCAGCAGCAGTCCCATCTCAGGAACTTTGGGGTTTGGGCCATTCTCGACCTGGGGGGTGCCAGAAAATAGGCAAAGCTATGAAGATGAGAGTCAGATCAGAGTCAGGGTCAATAGGATGGGGTATAATCAGACACTTAGAGGAGGTGGAATGGGGAGCAGAAAGGGTGATGTCAAGATACCCGGATATGCAGAGGGTGGTTGTTCAGCTCCTGACGTTTAGGTGGGAGACTGCCAGAGCCAGAGCCTTGGTTACCAGGAAGATTGGGACTGGGCACCGAGGACTCCAGGACAGCCTCCCAACGCAGTGCCAGCAATAGACGACGAGGATGGCGAAAAGCTGACAGGTGAAATATGCGCTCTGGTTCATTGGCATTTTCGCTCGTGTCACTGTCCAGGTAGCGAATCAACAGGTGCCCACGGCGGGACAGTTGTCGCAGCCATTGCCAGGGCAGCTGTGGCCCAGCAGGCGCATGAGGTCTCCAAGGCCGAGGTAGGCGTCCAGCCCAAAGAGCATGGGCCACTGCTGCACAGCGGCTGGAGGTGCATGGGGTCTCACCCTTCAGCTGCTGCAATAAGCAGTCAAGGTCGCGCTGCAGTATGCTCACCAGCTGCCTCAGTTCCAGCACCTCTGTCTCTAAGAAGCCCTCCAGAGGCCGGTGGGCAGTGGGCCCCAGCACCGCCCAGGGGGTGACACACTGGCCTGGTCGAGCACGGTTGGTTAGCAAAGCCTGAAGTGCCACCAGCCTCTTCTTGGCTTGCACCAAGCGTTGCCGAAGTCGCCTTTCTTTACGCTGGGCGCTTCCTCCGCCAGCTGAAGGAACCCATGTGGGTGAACACTGCTGCAACGCATTCAGGAGAGCACGACTCTGGCATCTCAACAGCCAGGACTTGGGCCCTTCATTCAGTCCACAAACACGAGGTTCAGCTGGTGTGGGCAGTAGATGCATCCGGGCCTTGCACTCTGTCATGGCATCTAGCTTCCCAAGCTCTTGGAATTGGAGGTGAGAAACAAAATAGATTGTCCCCACCAGAGCCAAGGAAGTAGGCCTTCCTCTGACCCAATAATTACCAACATTGCCCTTTCATACCTTCATTGGTACGGATATTATCCACACTCCTGTGAGGACTGCAGTACAATGCACTTTTCCCCATCCTAGGGTGGACAGCTTACCTGGGCTAGGCATCAGAGTGGCCAGCAGATGCTGAGGTGTGTGTGGCTGGACCCAGCTTATGCTCCTGGGATTCAGACAGGCTCGTGTCAGGCTAATCAGGGCCTCTCTGTCCTCTGGGTCCTCCAAAGAACCTCCATAGAAAACTGAAGCTGTAGATGAAATCAGAACTTCAGTCCTTCCAGTTTCTATCACCCCTCAAAACAAAATTGTGTGTTTATCTATCACCTGTGTCCTGGCCTTCAGACTTCCACACCACCCTTTTCCAGGTCTTCTGGGGGCCAATCACCATATGGAGGACAGGAGGAGAACCTCACCAGCCAGGTCTAGCAAGGCAGCACTGGGGTTACTGAGACTGGCCCACAGATGCTCTTGGATCTGAAGAACGTTGGTCAAGGTTACTTGACTCCTGGGTAGGGGTACAGAGAGCATAGTTTTAATAACAATATACTGAGGACTCTCACATCTTTTCTTCAGTGCAAACCTCTCTCCTGAGCTCTAGACTTATGAGGACTCACTAGACATTACTACTTTACACCCCAATACAACTTGCTTTCTATTGCAATAATCATTTCCCCTATAAAACCTATTCCACCTCTTGCCCTAATAAGAGGTATTGCCAGCAACCCAGTTGTCTAAGAAGTCTAGGAGTCATCCTTATTCTTCACCATATATTTATTCTTGACCTCTATTCTGACGACCACCCATATCCTTACCACCCATATCATGATCTTTTCCTTAGATCCTCCTTAAAAGGTGTTCTTTTCTCCAGGCCCACCCCCTCTGTCTATTCTTCACATTGCAGCCTGGGTGATGCTTTTGACAGATAGAATCAAGTTTCCTCTCCTATTTAATGCTCCCCCCCCCCCCCGCCGCCCCAGCTTCCTGATGTCTGCAGAATGACCCGAGGCCCCTTGCCATGGCCCTAAAAGCCCTTCTTTGTGATGAGCTTCACTTTTCTCTACTCCATCCCCATCATGTCCACCTCAGCTGCACTGAAGTCTTTCCCTCTGCTTCAAAAAGCCCTGTTTCTATCTAACTAGCTTTTGCTTTTAAGGCTCAGTTCAAAGTGAGATTGCAAACAAAGTCCTTGGAGAAGACTTCCTTGCCTTCCCCTTGCCTTCACTCTTTGGAGGTTCCAAAGATCAGTTTTCTCATCCAAGCATATGGAAAGTACTCAGTGTTTGCTGGGTGACTGAATAGGGCTGGTGGATCCCTCACCAGCGCCCCCTGTGTGCTTGCAGCTTTATCCCATAGAGCTGTCTGTGTAGTAGGAGACCATGCAGGAGGAACAAAGGTAGTGTCTGGGTGAGGGGTTGCCTGCAGAGTCCTTGCTGGGAATCCACACTGTCGATCAAGATACGGCCCAGTTCTAAGGACTGGTCCCAGAAAACAGTCATGGAGTGATGGGTCAGCACCCCTGTAGAGGAAGCAGAGTCCTGAGTCAGTACAGTACAATCACTCTCCATCCTTAGGACTTGATAGCTCATAAAGGGATGCTTCTCACCTGGCAAGGAAGCACTGGCCTCAGTAGATACAATCAGCCAAAGACGGAAATCTCTGTGGACAGTAGACACATTCTTGCTTTCTTGTTCGGCTAACAGTTCCGAGTCTGAGGCCACTAAGTTTAGATAAGGGGCTGGAATAAATCCTCAGGTAATAAATAGACTGACCCACAAGTCCACAGGTCATCTTCAAGACTGGAGCAACAGGAATCAGACACAAGGCCAAAGGGATAGGCTTACACTTGGGAGATCAGCCATGAAGCCTTAGAATTCAAGCTCAGGACAAAGTGTAGGGGAGGATCCTCGAAACCATCCTGAAGCAGTACACTTACCCTTGGCTTCATCCAGCAGTCCCAACAAGGGCTGTAGCAGTTCTCTTGGCCAATGGGGCATCAAATGACAATTATCCAGCACCAGCCAGTGCCCCTGGAGCATAGCCTGGCGTAGAGTGTTGACTATAGTTGAGACAGGATCCCAGTCTTCAGAACCTAGTGCTATCACATGCAGGTGCTTCTGTGTCTAGAAACCATTAGAAAGGTGACAGAGTAAGTCAAAGTGATCTTGGGGTGACTTGATAGACTCAGAGTTATGCCACAATAACCCTAAAGTACCTGTGTTAAAAAGACCTATAAGGATGCTGGGACAGGGCCCCCACACTCCATCCCAGCCCATAGAAGCCCACTCACTCTGGGTCAAGTGACTAGATTCAAACCTTTTCATGGTTGGCAGCTAGTTTCCGGATGACAGTCATAGGATGCAAGGTGGCTGTAGGGTGGCCAGGTGGTGGCAGCACGATCAGGATGGGCTGAGTAGCTTGACTGTGTTCAAAGATCATGGTAGGGGCACCCAGGTCTTCATCTAGGGGCCGACCTAGTAGGCTGGTGGTGAGGTCTGCTAGGATACCTGCCAGGCAATCTGGTCGCAGTACACGCCACAGAATCAGCTTCTGGAGGAGGCTAAGTGGCTCAGAATTAGGACCAGGTGCAGGACCCAGCACGGTGGATGATAGTGACAAGTAATCCTGCCACACAATGGAGTGGCCTGCCAGGGATGCACGAAGCCCAGCAAATGGGGACAGCAGCTCCAATGCCCCACATTCTTGCCAGGCTCTTAAGCCTAGCCAGGCTGGCCTAACCACACCAGGGATCTGTGTGTTATGGCCTGTGCTGGGAGAGGCTGACAGTCCAGGCCACAGTGCCAACCTCTCTAGCTTTGGTGTCTTCTTTGTCACTTGCAGCAGGGCCAAAGCACCCAAGGCACCCACCAAAGGTGCTTGGGTCAAGCCTAGGGCAGCCAAGGTGCTGCTCAGCAACTGGCGGGTCAGATGTATTTTCAGCTGCAGCATATGGCTGGCCAAGTCCTCTCCATGATAGCTATCATGTGGTTTCATGCTGTCTAGAGCCCGCCTGGTGACTGCCAACCACTTCTCTAAATTCATAAAGAAAAATGGCAGCAGGTTCTCTAGTGGACTTAGGGCCTTTACCACAGCCATTCCATGACAAGCTACCTGCCGGTAAGGTGCCCACAGTGCCATCTCCTCCAGCTTCTGCTCTTCTATCTCTTCCCTTTGAGCATTCAGTTGACATATCTTTGCCTGAGTTCTCACCATTTCTCTCATAAACTTGGACGGTTTCTTACGCTTTGGGTTCTGAAGTTGCAATATCACCAGCAACCGTTCCTGCATATGGTAATCTGTTTGATGGATCTGGACCTTTGTGATGGTCCCCAAACATCATCTCTAGCTCTATACTTAAACCCTTCCAATGTTTATCCCACCCCACAGATTGGGCCCCCAAGTACCTCAGCAGCCTCCACAGCTTCATAGGTATCCACTGCTCTGACTTTGAGGTCCTGCCAGCGGGTCTCAAGCTCTGGACGCTCTCTGCACAAGATTTCATGCAGCATCTGTTCTTCTAGTATTTCCATGTTCAGACCCAGATCCAGAACATTCAACCCTTTCAGCAATTTACGACCTAGTACTTGGGGTCACATGGAAAATGTAAACTTACCCATGTCAGAGTCAAGGGTAGAGTAGACAGAGAATTTGGCTCTCCATTGCAGTTCTGAGCCTGCTCTGGGCCTAGTTGAATGAAGACCTCTTAGGGATGATTCTGGGGGCCTAGTATGTCCACAAAGCTATGCTAGTAACCTACCCTCTGGTCTCACCTCGTTCCAAAGCATGGATAGGAAGGGTAGTGCTCAGATAGAGACAGAAGCCAGGTTGCACATGGGGTGGACTCAGATTCTCCCTCAATAGCAGCCCATGAAGTTCTTGGCACCCTAGGCTCAGCTCCATATTAGTCAAGAGCACAGGCAGGCCTATGAGGGAAGTAAGAACAACTATCCACACTGCCAGCACCCATGCCACCCAGTCCCTGCACAAGATGTGTTTCTCATCAGCTCTCTCTTGGCTGATAAGAGAGCTCAATCTAGATTCTTCAATATGGTAGGATGTAGGATCAAAGCTAAGGTCAGATTGGGGTATGAAAAGATTGTGGGGGCCACAGAATTAGGGAAGAAAATGGGGGTTGTGGTTCTCACCATTGGCAGCTGCCTCCAGGAGCTGAGGCCCCAACTCTGGGTCAGCACCTGAGAGCACAGTAAGGAGAGGTGGAGACTGAGTCTCAGATGATGGACTTGAGTTAGAACTCTCTGTTTCACTCTTTTCTTTCTCTGTTTCTTGCTCTTCCTTCTCTTTCTCCTCACTCTTGTTTTCCTCTGTTTTCTGTTCTTTTGTTTGGTTATTGGCCTCATTTCTATCTTCATCATCGTCATCATCACCTTCATCTTCCGTTTCATCCTCACTGTCTTGGTTTGTCACACGGTGCTTTGCTGGCATGAAAAGATACAAAAGAGTGTTTCTTAGAGGAGAAGCTTGTTTTCTAAGTTCTAGTTACCCAGGAGAGGGTTCATGAGTGGAGGTCTAGAGCAAGACAGTTTAGGAAAGCTGCTTAAGATCTATGGTTCAGTTTTCCCATCTGAAAAAATTGAGTTGATATTAGTGATAACCCCATAGGGTTGCTCTGGATATTAATTGTGATGATGTACAGTATGGACCAGCACACGGCAAACAGTAAATGCTGGTTTTCGTTATTACTTTAAAATTCCAAGGAAGGAGCTAGTCATCTCTGAAATTGACTCCATTTCTTCCCTTTCTGTGGGTTGATTAGAAGAGTCAATACTCACCCCCATCTTTTTTTAAACATAAATTATTCTGGCAGTAACAACTAAAAGAAATGTCCTCCCTGATAGGGAAATTGGTGCCTGAAGCAGTGGCTTACAAGTGAAGGGCTATAAACTATTGCACTGGAAAAGTCATGACTGGGGTACTGGAAACCACAAAAGGTGGTGTGGGTACAGCCTTCCCAATCCCTTTTCTCCTGCAAGAAGAGATAAGCACGTGTTTTCTTTCTAGGTTCTCTTACAAGTGGATGCTGCCTAGGCCTACAGTTTGTTGCATTGATTATAACAAATTACTGCAAATTCAGCAGTTTAAGCCACCATTTATTATCTCTAAGTACTGAAGGCTAGTGGTCCAGCACAACATGGCTAGATTCTCTGCTCAGCCACACACTGGGCTTAGATGAAGGTCTTCTCATCTAGGGCTGGAGGCCCTTCATGTTTAGTGGATTATTTGTTGTTTGGTTGTTTTTTTTAAGATAGGATTTCACTGTGTTTCCCAAACTGTCCCCAAACTGTTGGGATCAAGCCATCCTCATGTTGTGGCTTATTGAGTACCTGAGCGCATAGGTGTGTACCACTGAGCCTGGCTCTGACTGGGTTTTCACAGGATCTATTTCCTTCCTACAGCTGATCTGTAAGCCCCATGCATCTCCAAGCCAGCAACTGTCTGTTGAATGTCCCTGACCTTCTAATCTCTGTGTTTCCTTTTCTCCTTTCTGCTCTGAAGGGCTCATGATTAGCTTGAGCTTCACCAAGATAATTCAGAATGATAGCTCTCTTAAGGCACATTGATTAGTAACCTTGGTGCATCTGAAATTTTCTTATCCTGAATATTATAGGAATCATACCAGAAGGCAAAGGTCAGGGCTGTAGAAGTAGCTTGGTAGTACAATGCTTCCCTAGCATTTGAAAAAAGAAAATCATGGGGACCAAAATTCTGCCCAGCACTCCTGACAGGAGACATAGATTGCCAGCAGCAACTTTGACATGATACCTGAGTGGTAGACATCTTGCAACTGTGATGTATGGATTAGTTTCTAGGATGACCATAGCAAGTTCCCACAAACTTAATGACTTAAACTACTGTTCTCTCCGTTGTGGAGGCCAGATGTCTGAAATCAAAGTGCCAGCAAAGCTTCATCCCCTCCAAAGGCTCAAGAGGGGATCTGTCTTTGCCCTTTCCATCCTCTGGTGAGTGCAATTTTAGGTATTCCTCAGCTGTGGCTCCATAACTGCCTCCTTCATATGGTCTTCCTGACTGTATATGTGTCCTCTGTCTCTTAAAAGATGACTGTTGCAGGACTTAGGCCTCACTCATTTAAGGAGCAGAATGATCTCATTTCAAGGTCCTGAAGTTCATTATTTCTATAAAGACCTCTGTTCATATAAGGCAACAGTTTTCCTCTCATCTATTCAACTCCCCAAATCTTTCTTTTACAAATGGATTCATTTCCTTCTCCTAGGAACTCTATTCAGATGGATCCCTGATTCAAACATAGCCAATAAAAATATTTTCCAAGAATTTCTCAATGTTGCATGAATTTGGGTAATAAATATTACCCAAAATTGTAAGCTTTATTTGTTAGCAAGATTTACCATGTTGTTGAGTACAGCAGAGAAGTGGGAAATCAGGGCCATTGTAACATGAGCTAAAACCAATCAGACAAAAACAGTAAATGAAAACGAATTTATTAATATAGTTCAGGCTGGTAAAATAGGGTATGTGTTAGCCACAAAAACTCAGTATCTCTACCATGAAAAGGCAGACCATAGGAAGTTGAGAGTGTTGGGGAGCTTTTATCCCATGTCATTAATCCATGCCTACCTCTGCTCTCTTTGGAAGGTGGTGCAAACCACTTGTTCTGTTTCAGGGGTAGCGGATTCAACCAGATGAGGGCCTGGTTGCTGGGGTCAAGCAGCAGAGGCCAACGGCAGCTGTTGTAGTAGATGTGGCTTTGTAGTAGCAGGCCTAACAAGCGGGCTGACTTCGCTTGGGGCTTCCGGTCTCGATCCCACTGGTGCTGTTCAGATTCACAGCTCAGCAATTTCATAATCCTGAAGGGAGTACATGTGGGCACAAGAGGATCCTTTGGTGGCACCCTAGCAGGTTTCTGCTTCAGTGCCTGTGCCACATCATCTGGCTCCAGCGCTTCCTCAAAGCCCTGACACAGAGACAGCCACTTTTCCAACAGTTCTTGGCGCCGCTCTGGTGGAAAGGGACCCAGGTAGACAATGGCAGCTGAGCACAAGAGGGCATCTCCAAACACAGTCTTGCAATGATCCTTCAACTTCTGGTGTGGAGAGGGAACCAAAGCATGAATAGTCAGTGAGGTAGAGAGGTATGTGGAAGGGTGGACAGAAGGTTACCCGAGGGGAACAAGACAATTTGCAGAGGAAAATATGGAGAAGGGCATGGAAGGACAGAGGAAGCAAGGCGCATACATGGTGGGATGTAAAATGAACAGAGAGAGAGACATCTGGGAAGGGCTTGTTACCTGGAGCTGTTGGGTCCACATGTGCATGGGTGTGAGCAGTGCAGATTTCATGGGCCATTTGTGATACTTTCCACATTGTGCCTGATTGAGGGTCTCCATGATGAGGCTATAAAAGGCGTGGGCATCTTCTAGCTTCTTAGTCAGAGACAAAGTTTGCTGTAGCAGATCATGGGCCTGAAACTGGAACTGGCCTAGGCGGGCCTGCTCCCGAGCCAATGTTGCCTCCACCTGCCGCAGTAGCAGGCCAGTGGGCAATCCCCGGCGCTGTGCCATCCCATAGCGCAGAACAGCCGAGAGCCAGACTGCCAGGTTTGCTGCAGGGATGCTTACTGACCTCAAGGCTGCATCACGCATACCTGGAGCTTTCAGAGCTTGGTTTAACTTTATCAGCTCTGAGTCAGTCAGCTTCTCTTTGGGGAAGAATACCAGCTCCTGGGAGGACATGTGTTAAGGGGAGAAGAGAAGACATAGGTGCTCTTTACCTTGACTCAATAGGCTAATCTTGCCCAATTCTCCCTTTATGTGACCCCTCTCCTTTTATGGTACCTTATTTTTCCTACCTGATAAAAATCCTCAGTACATAACAGCTGCTTGGCATTGGCCCAGCCTGTCTCATGGTGGAACAGGTCACACAATGCATCCGTCACCTGGACTACAGATTCTGGTGGGGCTCGATAGCTTCTTAACTCCTCAAAGTCAGCCACCTGCAGCTTGCTCAAAGGACCTAGAAATGCCTTGCCCATCTAAATGAAGACAGATGTATGCTGCAGAGATCCTGTGATGTTCTGCTCATTCTTCGAGATGCTTCCAAGAGGACTCATCTCTCTTAAGGCTCCTCATGAGGGTTCATTCCCAAGCTGCCCTGTAACCTTGGCCTCCATGCCAAGAGCCCTATTAGTCACCCCATTCTGTCCACCGAGTGTCCTATGAGTGGTTGTCCTCTCCCCAGCAGAGCTGGTAGCAGGAAGAGCCTACCTGTTCCAGGAAAGCCTCCTGTTGAGCCTGTAGGGTACATTGCTGCCTGACCAGATTCTCAATGAGGCTCTCCTGGTGTTGACATTCTGCCATCTTCTGCTTGTATAGCTGCTTGACTTGATCGAGCTGGCTTTGATACATACCAATGTTCTGTGAACAGAGGTCCAGACCTTGCAGCTCCATTCCCTGGACTTTAGACCAACCCCACAGAGATATCATGAACATGATAGGGTGACCTAGTCAAACTCCCAGTAGGCCATAGCAGAGCTTCTGCTCTGGTCTGTGACTTATACATCCAGTAGCAGAAACCTTAAGTGTATGTGTGAGGGGAGTGCTTTTCCTGCCATCTTATTGCCATACAAGTAACTCCAAAGCTTGTGTAATTGTTCTGCTACATCTCTTCTCTTCCTGACTTCTTAGCAACAGTTGTCAGAGAGCACTGCCCCTGCCTCTGGAAGCTTTCTCCTCCCCTGGCCTTCATGACATTGGATCTCTCTGTCTCTTCTTTAGTGATCCCTAAACTATTTCCTTAATAAAAGCTTTCAGGCCCCCATTTCTTCTCATCTTACACTTCTGCACATCCTCTAATATCATGGTCTTGATCGATTGTATTGTGTGGGGTAGTGTTTTCCTATACCATATCATTACTCTAAAAACTCAAATCTTGGGGGCTGGAGAGGTGGCTCAGTGGTTAAGAGCACTGGTTGTTCTTCCAGAGGTCCTGAGTTCAATTCCCAGCAACCACATGGTGGCACACAACCATCTGTAATGAGATGGTTGTGTGCCCTCTTCTGGCCTGCAAGCATGCATGTAGGCAGAACACTGTATACATAATAAATAAATAAATAAATAAATAAATCTTTAAAAAAAAACCCTCAAATCTCTCTATAGCCACATTCCTTCCCCAGCTTTGCACTTAAGCCTCTCATAGGCTTCTCCAACTCTAAATGTCCCTAAAATGAATGTGTTCATGACTCCTTAGTTGTCTTGCAATCTTACTCCTCTCTCTCATATTACTCACAGAAGATACCTTGTTTGCTACTCTTGGCTCCATCTCTTTTATTTCCTCAAACCTAGCTCATTCTTTGTAGATCTTCCCATTATACCTCTTGAATGTTTCTTATTTCTATCCCCATTCCCAATGCCCATTGACACTCTAGAGTCTCTCCTGAGCTGCACACTACTTTTCTAACTGGGTACCTTGGTTCCTGCCCTTATTCCCTTCCTCCAATCATTCACCACACTGCATCCTAATTGGTTTTCTTTAACTGAATCTCATTGTTTTTGTGTCTTAACATTCACCTTCTTGGCTACTCATATTTCTAGGCTCATTGTTTTATTTCCCTGAGCACCATACTCTCCAGCCTTTCCTGACTTTGAGTTCCTCTAGTGTGGTGAATGTTCTCTAGTCTATGTGTCTTCACTCACACTGATGCTTCAATCCAGATGTTCTTCTTCTCCACCTCCCTTTATACCCGTCCAAATATTACCTCAGAAAATACCTTTGTTGTACTTCATTGTTGTTTACTTTTTGTTTGGTTTTTTTTCAAGACAGGGTTTCTCTGTGTAGTTCTGGAGCCTTTCCTGGAACTCACTCTGTAGCCCAGGCTGGCCTCAGACTCACAGAGATCTGCCTGCCTCTGCCTCCCAAGTGCTGAGATTAAAGGCATGTGCCACCACTGCCTGGCTGTTGTTTACATTTTAAAGGAATGTTTTTTAACATCCACCTCATTCTATACATGTTGTGCTATATACTGAGACTGCCTCTTCCTTCTCCTCTCTTTCCTTCCCTTCCCTCTGGAAAACTCTTCTTGGTATATCTTAGGACACTCTGGACTTTCTCTGTCATAATATGAATAACTGTTTAAAATTGCCTAGACAAGTCTAAACTATGTCCATTAGCCTCTTTGGATTTCTGTTTTCTCATTAGTAAATCAGAAAGGGACAGTTGCTTCCTGTGCAAGTAATGTATTATCTTTTTATCTACCCACCAATCTATCCATCTATTTAGATGTAGATATAAACACAAATACAGACATAAATTTTGAGGGCCTGGGCAAAAGTTATAGAGTTCAATTAATTTTGTTGGTAATACCAATGAATAAATGGACTAATTGAGTATGAGAAAGGGAAAAACTGGAGGAGACCAGAATGATTCTGGGGATTTGGCTTAGATGATTAAGGGAATAGTAGTGACATTTCTTGGGGGTGGGAAACACTAGATGGATGCTTTATTAGGACCATTTAGTGAATGACCAAGGGATCTAATCGAATGACCCCTGAGATGTATGAAAATCTCTTAGCTATATTTGGAGCTTCCTATATTATGGTGTGATATAAGGAACCAAGGAATAGCAGGACTCCTCAATCAGATCAATAATTCATGGTATTAATTATCTTGAGAAAATGTAGGACCCAAGGCAAGACACTAGAACTTAGGAAAGGTAAGAACGGAGACCCCTATTTACTTTGAACTTTCTACCACACCCATTCCCCATTTTGAAACTCATCTGAGTCTTGAGGTTGAACCTGGTCATCATAGGTTGACCAGGATAGGAAGAGGGCACCAGCACTTGAGAACTCCAGGGCCACAATTTACACAGAACACTGTGGAAATTATGTAACATAAGTAAATAACCCTGCTCACACTGGTGTGAAGAGAAGTTACAAGGCCTGAAAGCTTACTAGAAAGTTTAGCAGATCATCTAATTGAGAATGGGACACTAATTCACTTCTCAGTAGCCAGTCCTGAACCTTTTTCAAAGACTTATATGACAGACATTAAAACAAAGTGCTATTTCAAAAGCCATTGTATTAAAAACAAAACTTCTGGCTAGTTTGTAAAAACACCTCAAATGTAGTATTTGGCTGGGGAAGGAGTAAAAACTCCCACCCCACTAGTTTTAGCAAGATATGAGAGGTTTATTTATTCAGAATGATTGGCTCTGCATAGCAATGAAAAAAGATTAGAGTTTGGGCCAGAAAGGAACTGCATTTGGGGTAACATTCAAGTGGAAAGAGGAGGGCTGATGAGCAAGTGGAACAAATATTGAAAGAAGTGGAGGGAAGGAGATGGTTCTGGAAAATATACAGCAGCAGAGGCTAACTAAAGAAATTCAGGACACCAATGTCTAGTATATGATTTTAATATGATTCTGGGATTGGAAAAAGAGGTGAGTCCCTGAGCTCCTGGCTGGACAGCTCAGTTATCTAGTCCCTAGACTCCAGGTCACATACTGTGCCCCTCCCCCACCCATTGCAGCCCCAGAGACTAGACACCAGCATCCTCCCTCCCCCTTGCCAACTATCCCCCTTGGCACCAGCGACCAGTGGACCCACAGGCCCCACCTGCACCGATTGGAAGAAGAGGGACTCCCAGAGGCATAGGCTCCACCTGCACTGATTGGAGAAAGAGATGAGTAGATGGCAGTGTAAGAATACACTCAACAACATAAAGAACAATATGGCACTACCAGAAACTTGTGGTTCTATAACAGCAAGACCTGAATATCCCAACACAGAGGAAGCAGAAGAAAATGACCTTAAAAAGAACTTTATGAAGATGATAGAAGCCCTTAAAGAGGAAATGAAAAATTCCCTTAAAGAAGTGGAGGAAAAGACAAACAAAAAATTGGAAGAAATCAATAAATCCCTTATCCAATCAAATGGACCAAGAAAGCTAAGGGAAAAAAAAACAAACAAGTGAAGGAAACAGTTCAAGACTTGAAAATTGAAATAGAGGCAATAAGAAAACACAAACTGAGGGAACTCAGGAAAAGAAAAAGCTGAGTAAATGAACAGGAACTACAGAGCAAGCATAACCAACAGAATACAAGAGATGGAAGAGAGAATCTCAGGCATCGAAGATACAATAAAGGAAATAGATTCATTGGTCAAAGTATGTTAAATTCAACAAACTCATAACACAAAAAAATCCAGGAAATCTGGGACATTATGAAAAGACCAAACCTAAGAATAATAGGGATAGAAGAAGGAGAATTCCAGCTCAAAGGCATAGAAAATATATTCAACAAAAACATAGATGAAAACTTTCCCAACCTAAAAAAGGACATGCCTATGAAGGGACAAGAAGCTTACAGAACACCAAATAGACTGGACAAAAAAAAAAAGTCCCCTTGTAGCCAGAAGGTTTCTCTGGTCCTGCTGGGCCCTACAGTCAGGATGAATGTCTCCTGCCCACATCCCTTAGCCGCTTGGTTCCCAGTAAACACACAGAGGCTTATGTTATTTACAAATTATATGGCCTATGGCAGGCTTCTTGCTAGCTAGCTATTATATCTTCAATTAACCCATTTCTATTAATCTATGTTTTGCCATGTATTCCATGGCTTTACTGGTCTGCTGGCATGTTGTTCCTTCGGCTGTGGCTGGCGTCTCTCTAGACTCCGCCTTTCTCCTTCCTGTCTCTCTCAAATTTTCTGCCTGCCTCTAAGCTGCCTTGCCATAGGCCAAAGCAGCTTATTTATTAACCAGTGGGGATAACATATATTCATAGCATACAGAAAGACATCCCCCAGCAGTTCCCTTGCCACATAATAATCAAAACACTAAACATACAGAATAAAGGAAGAATATTAAGAGCAGCAAAGGAATAAGGCCAAGTAACATATAAAGGCAGACCTATCAGAATCACACCTGACTTCTCAATGGGAACTCTGAAAGCCAGAAGGTCCTGGACAGACATTCTGCAGACACTAAGAGACCACGGATGCCAGCCCAGACTACTATACCCAATATTCAATCACCATAGATGGACAGAACAAGATATTCCGTGACAAAACCAGATTTAAACAATACCTACCCACAATCCAGCCCTACAAAAAGTATTAGAGATAAGAGGTAGATTATTGAATCTACTCTGAAAAAAAATAGAAATGATAGAATAAAGGGTAGATTATTGAATCTACTCTGAAAAGGAAAAAGAGAGGATATAGACATGATACAGATAAAAAGGTAGATTATTGAATTTACTTTTAAAAGACAACTACTAGTTTTAAATATTTTACATTGGATTGGTTTTTTGTATATTATATACAAATTATATATATTGATGCAAATTTGAGATTGGTTTTGTTAGAAAATACTGTATGTATATTTCTAACCTATACAGTTCATTTAACAATGTAATG